AAAAAAATTTTTTTCCTGTGATCGTAATGAAAATTACACCACTGAAAAGAGAAAAAATTTAGAAAATTATCATATAAGTATGAGTGAAAAAAAAAAATGGACCAACTTCTGTCACTTTTTTTGGAAAAACTATCATTTGTAGGTTTCCTATGAGCCAATTTCAAAGTTTTTAGTACCATTGGAAAGCTCATGTTGTAGACTATCTACCTCTAACTAGAATAAAACATTTTGGTTGAGACTTTGACTGCAGGTGGGTGGGGGAAATGGGTGCAACTGCTAGATATGAATGCTATAACTTAACTTAAAGGCAGAATTGAATGGAATAAATTTCAGTTTCATGGTCTTGGCACCATAATTGAGCTTAAAAATATGAAATTAAATAAAATATGCAAATAAAATTTACCAGTAATAATAATATTATTAAGTTTTATTAATATTAATTCATAACAAATTATAATAAATATTAGTAAATCTTGATATTAATAATAATATTAAATACTGATCATCATCATCATGTCATGTCTTGTCTCATCTCGTCTCGTGCCTTGTCTCATCTCGTCTCGTGCCTCGTCGCATCTTGTCTTGTGCTTCGTCTCATCTCATGTCTTGTCTCATCTCGTCTCATGCCTCGTCTCATCTCGTCTTGTGCCTCGTCTCATGCCTCGTCGCATCTCATCTCATCTCGTGTCTTGTCTTGTGCCTCGTCTCATCTTGTCTTGTGCCTTGTCTCATCTCGTCTCGTGCCTCGTCTCATCTCTCATGCCGCGTCTCATCTCGTCTCGTGCCTCATCTCATCTCGTCTCGTGACTCGTCTCATCTCGTCTTGTGCCTTATCTCGTCTCGTGCCTCGTGTCGTGTCTCGTCTCGTGTCTCGTCTTGTGTCTTGTCTTGTCTCATCTCGTGTCTCATTTCATCTTGTGTCTCATTGCATGTCTCATATCGTCTCATGTCTCATCTCCTCGTCTCATATCCAATCTCACGTCTCGTCTCATGCTTTTCTCCTCATCTCATGCCTTGTCTCATGTCTCGTCTCATGTCTTGTCTCGCGTCTCATCTCACATCTTGTCTCATGCCTTGTATCATGTCCAATCTCGTATGTCTCATCTCGTGTCTCATCTCCTTGTCCCATGTCTTGTCTTGCGTCTCATCTCACATCTCGTCTCATGTCTCGTCTCATATATTGTCTCATGCCTCGTCTCATGTACCCTCTCATCAGTCTCATGTCTTGTCTCATCTCATGTCTCAGTCTCGGCAGTAGTCTGTTCAGGACCAGCGTACCTCACTGGCTCATGACTGAACTGAATGTAAACAGCGCGACAGGACATGGTAGAAAAACTGTCCGAATGGCTGCAAATCTCTGAAATTTCGAGAGCATGCTCTAAAAACTATAATCTTGATTTCAAATTATCCTTCAATAATTTCAAAATATGATATCCATGTTTATTTCCTGCCCAAATGTTACCTCTTGCACATCCCAGCTAAGCAGGTACTTGATAGACATTTCTCGAAAAAAAAAAAATGATGTCGTCATAGTTCAAGTTTTTTTAGTTCGTTTCCAAACAAAAGTCAATCAAATTAAGCTAACATTTTGGCGGGACTTTCAAAATTAAATATCTTACGCGTGCCGATGCGGAAAGTGGCTGTCCGCCATTTTGCCAGCATTGTTTACGTTCAACGGTTCGAGGGTACTTTGTGCACATACCTACAAATGGTCTCACTACACTGGGTACCTGAGGTAATCAATGTAAACCTCCTTGGGCAACTGCCACCCCTCAAAAATCACCTTCACTGCGGAGTGCGGATGACTCTGCTCTAACTCCTTGATGGTGACTTGAATTTCTTGAAAGACGTACCATCCCTGCGATCTTCACAGTACCTGACTTGGCTGTCTCTAGTAGCTCAGAAACTTCTACTGATGGGTGAATTGGTCCAATCACTCCACTTATAGTAGAGTCAAAACCAGGTTGAGTGCACTTGACTTGGCATATTCCTATTTTAGATACTTCAAGGAGAGAACTAAGGTTGGAATTTGAGATGGTTCTGAACTCAACTGCCATTAGGCTTCTTCTTGTGTTAGTACGTACTTTAAATTCAGAAAATTTAACAAATGGAGAGTCTCTCAAACCGCGGGCTAACTTGACAGGGTTTCTAAGAAATGTGCTTGAGTTAGAGCCAATTGGTTTAATAAGAATACTGAGTCCCTTACCCTGACTCAGGAGAGTTGCATTCTCAACAACACGGACATGCTTCTTTCTGACACTGTCTGGTACACCTTCACCTTGATCTCCATCCACTGGTCCGAGAGGACCTGAGCTGATGTAGCCGATTGTTCATAACTTCATATTTTTTTAATTTGATTTGAAGACTTCGGGTATGCAGGTAGCACACCTCCCAGCCTGAGCACAACTCAGATTTTGATCACTCCACTTCACTTGTTGATTTCACTTTGTATTTCTCTTTCAGCACTTCCACCAACCAGTGTGGCAGTAAAATAACTTCATATATACACAATAACACACATGTCCGTAGTCGTCCGCAGCTCAAGCCGGAATCCCATTATGCGGCAATAGCAGCATTGGTATAAATCGTATAATTCCTTTTCTGCATCCCACATTTTCGATTAAACTGATTTACAGGAACAATTTTCAGGCGAAAAGCGAGTTTAGTTCTTTTCGTATTTCTGCGTGAAATAGTGACACAAACTTTTTGTATTTCTATGTAAATATTAACACCATCTTATCATATTTTATTATTATGATGTGTCAATGTATTGCTATGATGCATCAATGTATTGGCGTGTCGAGTTCGAGTGTAAGATTGTCAACTCCAATTTACGTGCTTGCCGATTTTAATAATAGCGGTTTCAGCGTTTATTAGGCCGTAGGCCTGTCGCCGATTCTTAACATCGCAGAACATTCACAGCATTTTGCGGTCTCGAACTCGTAACTCACCGCAACAATTCTGCTTTGCTTAACCGCCCGGACTCCTCGCCGATTCTGACCAGAAACTGGCGCACAGAGCTGAGATCGAACCCGCACCTCTCTGCGCCAATCTTGGTACTCTGAACTTTAACCACTGGGCCACCCTGCCCGAGAGTTATTCTGACATCAAGATAAATATTCAAAGATATACCGGCATCTTGAAACAGGATTCGTCAGAATTGCATCAGGCGTGCATTGCATCAGGCGTTAAGGTATCGAACAGATAAGAAAACAAGTATTTGGCAGCAAACAAAGTATAAAGCCATTGCACTCAGGCAACCAGACACTGCAGACAGTCATTTAAGTAGCAAAGCAGGCATCAGTTGATAGGTAAATGACAGCTGAAGGCTTATTTGTTATTGCAATTCAAGGGTTTTCAAAGCGAACCCTAGGTTCACTCATTAAAGTTCAGAAGTTACAAAAGATATTCCCAGCGAACGGCTGCACAAACAGTTGGGGTTGAAAAGAAACAATGATGGCTTGATGAGTCTTGCAGTGCAAAAATGATAATTAATAAAAGTTTCCTACGCTGTAAATGGGCAGTTAGAATCGTACGCACTATAATTTTGACAGACATGAAGATTATTTTTAAATCACCCACAGCGATGCCAACTGGGTAAAAACTAATGACAACAATCGAGAAATGAATTTCTGACTGAAGCAAGACATCTTAGATTGATAATATATCATTGAGTAAAATTAAAATCAAATCAAACCAGCGAAACCCCTTGCAAATTAAAATCAAAGCCCTTGCATATTAAAGTCAAACCCTTGCAAATTAAAGTCAAACCTGCGAAATCCCTTGAAGAACAAAAATAATATGATAGCTCGGCCATCAGAGTAGTTGGTGGAACAGATTCACCCGCACAGCAATTTAATCTGTTCTAATAAAATAACATATGAATGGTCAGGATTTGATCCCGAAGCAAACATCTCAAAAAATCGTTGCCCGAACAAGGAAGATAGGAGGAACATTTCCGCTCGCAATTGAGCTGCGATTGTAAAAAATTTAACACGAGTCGCCTTGAATGAGAAAGGCACCCAACAAACTCAGGTGGTAAATATTTTTGACCCACACGCATTATAGGAATATCGTGGAATAAAATGGCCACTGAGAATAATACGATTTGATTGCTCTATATTCAGTTCATAAAGACTAAAATTGTTAACATAATAAAAGATCGAAATCTCCTCTCTTGCTTCTTGAAAAGAGCGTAAATATTTTTATAGTAATCCTATTACAGCTCTAGATAAACGAGTCATTTGTTTTAAAAAAGAACACATAATTTAAGACTACGACGTCGCTACTAGGCAGCGCACCCTAAGTAGTTTTAGTAATGAGAGTCTTGGCGGCGTCAGTAATTGAAGTGAGCTCACTGGAAGGCAAGTAGAAGTCTCCCTGTTCATAAGGCTTCTTGATCCACGTCCCACAGCCTGCTTGCTGGAAGCCCTGGACGAGGATGCGCTTGCTCTCCTTCACACACAAAATAATAGAATCAGATTTTCATTCATAATTTGACAGTAGGTTTTCTTTTGACTTGTTTTTAAAATATTTGTGTAAGATAATTTACACCAAATAATTCGTCTGAAGTCAAACGGGATTTAAAAATATAAGGATTCATGTGAAGTCATTATCCTCGAAATAGGCTAAACATTGATAAGCAGGCACAATCCATCCTGTATTAACTTCTTATTTGTGTAATATAGTTTAATCTAGATGTTATTAATTTAGCTTACCTGATACTTTTCAGCCTTAGCTTTGATGATATTGTAGGAAGAGTGAGCGTCCTCTGCGAATGTAAGGCCTGAGCCAGGAGGCATTCTTTGCACCAGCTTCAGGAACCTCTTCAGGAGGCTACGCTTGCACAGCCGGGAAGGGTGTTGCGTTTCCAATTTGCCTGTCGCGGCGTGCAAGATTTCAAGGTTGTCCGTCACTGCAGGAGGAAATTACAATTTAATTGCTGCATTACCACTATAAAATGCTACGAAAATAAATCGTCAAAATTTATTCGGACCAATGATTTAAAAACTACGTCTGTGCATTCAAAATTCAATGTATGGATGAGCACGAATATAAGTTCAGATTTGCAGGGAAATGTAACTAAAAAAAATTTAGTAAGAAGTTTACAGAGGCAGGATCTTTTAATAAGAAATAGCTGAAAAATCTTGAACGGAGCTGAAAATCGACTAACCGCAGTCCCAGTTTAAAGAAAGCGACGACGCTTTCTGAGGATTCCTTTTCTCGGCGCTGCTTCCTTGGTTCATCTTGGGCTTGTGCATCATGAACGGCTTAGGTAGTCCTTCAAGATGGTTTTCAAAGCGCCCATATAACGCTCTGCAAAAAGTTGTCAAGTAAATGAATAGAACTACTGCAATAAATGTGATATCTCAATAAACAGCAGGATCAAGGAGGATAGAAGGTAGTATTTGGTTGATACCTGTACATGCACGAGGCGTTCAAGAGCGCCCCCGAGCACGACGGTTGTTACCTGTACATGCGCGAGGCGTTGAAGAGCGCCCCCGAGTTTACCTGCACATGTCCGAGGCGTTGAAGAGCGACCCCAGCACGATGGACTCGAGGTAGACGGGCATGAGGTAGTGTGAGAGCATCGCGCCCTGCACCCCCAGCACGTTCCAGCGCGCCAACTTGTCCGAACACGACATCGTGCGCAGACGCTCGCCCCGCATCACGCTATCCCAGGACTGCACGCTCTCCACCTGGTGCAAAAATGTGTAGAATGCCCAGCAATATTCAACTGCATAGAATTAACTAAAACGAATGCGAGAATGATATATGTTCGTGGAAACTAGGAGAAGATGCAACGAATCTTTGATTATTGAAACGCAGAGAATTGACAGGTTAAGATCTTATACACAAATGAGTAAACAATGAGGAAGATTCGAGCAATAATGCATGTTCTGTGTCATCAATCAAACGTGGCACACCGAATCATAACTGACAGAGAACCGTTCGGCATATAATCACAAGGCAAGTTAAAATAGGCTGATAAATGTAGTAAAGACCCATTATATATGGTATTAAAGCCTCAATAACGGTACATTACAGCAAGTTTGTACCTTAATAGGTATTGGGCCGTCACCGGACTGAATCTTGGTCCTAAGAAGACCGCGACTAGGCCTGTTGGGGTGAGGATCCGCGACTTCGGCTTTTTCCTCGTGGGGGGAGAAGATTCTGGCGTCCCCACAAGGAGCTGTGCTGATGTATAGGTGGAACTTGTAGCGGTCCTTCACCTTCAGGAGTTGTCTAAACTCAGAGTCGTCGGGTACTTGTTCAATCATACAAGAAGCGCCTGGCGGCATCTCTGAAAAACAATAATTACACATTATTTAAAGATTAACTTCAACATGATGGAAGAACTAGCATTCGCTGACGATAAAATCTGAGTTCAGTCTTTAATACACGAGACCTCAAATAGACAAGATAAGTAGTAGTAGCGCTTGGATTACTGGCGCTTGAGCTATCAAGCTATTTCGCACCGGAGGTCAAAATATAACATCGCCAGCGTGGCGGAAGGTCTCAATTATTCAATATCTAAAATTAATCATCACCTACAAGGGGCAAAAGGTCTAAATTGTCCAGCCCTCTGAAGCTGACTCGAAAGAAGCAGCTTTAGCATCTCAAAGAGACGAAGTGACAAGGAGGGACAGGTGAAAAGCAACAGAAACGAAGACACTCGAACAAGAGGTCGTTCACACGGGACGTCGGTTGCCCGCACGAGAGAGACAGAGAAGGGAAATATAAGGAATCCTTCCTACATAATAACGTCGCCCCACAACTGAGACCTTCGATCAGACACCGCGAGCTCAGCGGTGGCGCGCTCAGGAACAATCTCGCTAGGAGCGCGAAATCCCATAGGACTTCTGACGAGCACCGGCACACGTCAGAAGTCCCCTCTAAGGGGATGGACAAGATAAATGTACAGAAGATATACGTAGATACAAGAAGCACTGACCGTCACTTATGATTGCATGATAGAGCTCCAACTGGGCCAGGAGGAAGTGAACAAGGCATCGTCTGGATACAATTTCAGCGTGGCAGTCGTTGATGCACAGGCCGTTAAGGCTCAATCTTTTGCCATTGACACACTTGGCGCCAGTGCTGACACTCAGGATGAATGTGGCATCACAATCTTCGTCGTCCGTGACCACGATGCCCGCCAGTACCCTGCCTTTAGCAATGGTCGAGTTGTTGTTGGTCAGCGTCATGAATTTTTCGCCCACGAGTCTTGGAATGAAAAGAAACAAAATGTAATTTATAAAATATTACGGACGCAATTCAAGACGAGATAATTCCAGTGCAACACGCGACAAAAAAAGTATTACTAGAGCATGGATTAAGGATTAATTAACATTGATTATTAATGGGCAGACTATGAGTCGGGCGACTATAGATAGGCCGCTTCGAAAGTGTGAACGGGATTTCGCGTGGCCTCCAGATTTGTTCTTATGTAGAAGATGGGCCAAGCGAAATCATTTTACATAGTAATCACACAAAAACATGAAATCACAAAAACAGCAAAATTTTGGTCAAACAATGTCTGAAACAATTTTATTCTTACATTAGGGATTAATTTCTATAACAAAAAATAATTTATATTCTATTCTAATTTGTATGTCTCGTTAAGCCTCGATAGAAGTATGTAAATTCAGATAAATTAGATATTAAAATTAGATATTTGTCCGGGATTTCGTCTGGTACTGGTATTGTCCCAGATTTACACAGAAATTGAAACTGGTTGTTGTTATCCAAAATCGGGACACAGGTTTTTGGATCGTCACGCCTTGAATTAAAACAACGAAATGTAGATGCTAAACATTATAAGATATGAATAGTCAGGCATTCAACCAGCAACGACTTCAACAAAATTTAGCATCTTAAGTGCTCGTCAGCCTTACCAGTAACAATATCATGTAGAACTATTATTCGCGCATTTCTTATCCCTAACAATATTATGAATTATCTCTGGTGCTCGTTACTTACTCGGCAACCATATCAGCGGCAGTCTGGGGCATCAGGAGATTCATATTTTTCAGCACCTTAATATGGTTCTTTCCAATGACGGTGAGCCCATTGAAGAACTTGCTCACACTTGGAGCCTGGTTAGCCTGGTCCAACTTGCTGGCATTTGTGACTGGCACGGCTTCATAGTTTCGGTCTTGTGCCGTCATTGAGTTCACCGGAGTCACGCTCGAATCCTGAAAACGAGAGTTCAAGTGAGATGTAGCGAGAGTATACATCTTATGTGTGGTCTTATCGTATACATCTATGTCTTATGACAAGTGTTGTTTGCAAACCAATGGAATCTGTTGTGAGGGATGGGATTATCGATCACTTGACTGCTCACCGTCTCATATCAGATTGTCAACATGGTTTTATCGCCGGTAGATCCTGCACCACTAACTTATTATCTACGTTGAACGATTGGACTCGCCTGCTGGACGAAAGGGAGCCAGTGGATGCATTGTACCTCGATTTTGCCAAAGCATTTGACAGTGTTCCGCAGGAGCGGCTGTTGCGTAAAGTGAAGTCTTTGGGAATTGAGGGAAACGTACTCCAATGGATCAGAGATTTTCTAGTAGGTAGACGACAACGTGTCAGTATTAACGGAACCGTGTCAGACTGGGCATCAGTGCGCAGTGGCGTGCCACAAGGAAGCGTTCTTGGGCCTATTTTGTTCGATGCTTTTATAAACGATTTGCCAGAAGCAGTCTCCAGCGTGTGCTCCATGAATGCCGACGACACAAAAGTTTATAATACAGTGAAGGATGCTTCAAATAAAGCGCAATTGCAAGATGATCTTGACAGCTTAGTTAACTGGGCTGATACGTGGCAGCTTCGGTTTAATGCTGACAAGTGTAAAGTACTTCACCTCGGGAAGAACAATGAACAGCAAGATTACAGTATGAGAAGACATGGTTGCAACGAGAGCGTAATGATTGAAAAGTCTAGTGTGGAAAAAGATCTTGGAGTTTATGTCGACAGGGAGCTGAAACGCAAGCTAACACATCCAACAAACTTCTTGGACTAATCAGGCGCTCATACGAGTTCCTAGATGCAGAAACGATGAATCAGTCGTTTGTTGCTGTCGTGAGCCCGAATCTAGAGTTTGGAAACGTTGTGTGGTCACCGAGATTTGAAAAGGACGGAAATTTAATAGAGAATGTTCAAAGACGTGCAACAAGTACCCGGTGGAAGTCTAGTAGCTACATGAAACTATCGTCAGTCATGAAAAGATCCGGTCAAATGAAACGATATTAGATCTTCTGTGAACAAGGCACGAAAAGGAAAAGAATCGGCGACAGGCCACATCAGGCCTACACTTCAGCGCCGAGATCAATATGTTATGTTATGTTATAGATTAGACGGTTGAATGCAAGTTCCCGACTATAGTTTCCAAATCATGCAACTAAAAACCTATAATTCGCAAGGTCACTAATAATTTCAACATGTGAATTTAATGTATAATGACGAAAATTAATGAAAATTTAACGCAACTTGCTAAATTCATTACCTTTCGAAAAATCCTGAGAGAAACTCGTGCTGATATAATTTCCCTAACCCAAATACGAACTTCCATGAGAATCCCACATATTCTTTGTGAAGTGTGTGTAGATGAATGCAATTGAAATACAGATAAATAACCAATTAAATATGCTCAAGGTAAACATAAACGCTCACCGTGTAGACGACTCTGTGAGTCGAGGTACGTGCGTCGTAGGGTTCAAATTTCTCAGCGCAGACGTCCTCAGTGAAATCCGGCGTACCAGTGTTGCTGCGGGAGGTCAAGACTCATATCAGTATTGGCTGCAACAGCTGACGATCATTTATATTACATATTGATTCAAGTTTATCATAATTCTCACGTCGTAATATTAATATATATTACAACTACTTCCATAAAACTGCTTTTTGATCTACTAACGTCATCCGAAGAATTGTTCGACTACCCAAAAATTTCGATCAAATGCATTATCTGGACACTGATAGCAAACTTTTAGATACCTACGATAACTCAAATGACCAGACCAGTAGATCTGACTAGGATTGACGACACGGCTTATTTAAACCAAGGGTGAGAGTGAGTGACGTACTGAGTGAAAATTCTGACAAGTTATTCGACGTTAAGGGTTGACAATTTTTCATACCCATGATAGCGTGCCACTAGCTGAGTGACGTCAGAAACGGGAGGGCGCAGAATGAAGGAAGCGAGGGCGGCGATCGCTGCGTTGCATTTGGCCTGCTTCTTACTTCTTCCCGTACCACGGTACTCCACGTCATTCATCTGCAAAAATAACGTGATATTAATACGCTAACACATTGCAGCATTTGTAGGCAGACAGGCATTAAAGAATTGTTGGACTCATAGAAAATTTAAATCAAACGCATTTTAAAACTCTGGCCATTACTCGCACGTGTATAGACAGAGTATTGTATATATCGAAATGGACAAGGGAATCATATTAATATCAGGCCTTTACATGTAGAACTTTGAAATAGGAGACGCTTATCCAACCTTTGTTTTTATCCAACCCCTAAGGGACGCCTGTCGGAGACCATCACTGCCGTGCTTCAAATGGACTATTATCACATTGTGTGCTATTCGCTACAGAATATGGTGGCGTAGAGCTCCTAATATTTAAAGCATGATGATTTCATGAGCTGCTTACTGACGGAAAGCTTATTTACCGACTGATTGGTGGCCAACTGGAAATATGCTTGGCGTTCTTTTCAGGGTTGATTGGTGCATAAATTTGGTGGTGCACGCTGCACGGCTGCGTTCCCTTTCCCCAGTACTACGTAGGTTATTATATCAACAAATAAAACTATTGATAGTTTTAACAAGCTTTTTAACGAGATCAACGTGAATTACACTCGAGTTGCCCCCATAACTAAGTCGCCGGGACCAATAGAAGCAAAACTCAATAAAAACTGGATAAGAATTTCATAGATACATTCCAGCACCGTTGAAATGTTTCAGAACAACCGAGAAAACAAATTAATAAATTTCTTATCAGCATTTCATATTTTTTGTATATAGACGAGCTGAATGAAGAAGTGTTGAGTTATGCGTCGTGGATGATAGACACACTCCTCAAGGTTATGCCTCAACACAATAATTAACAGTGCTTGCATTCGCAGACATTTTCACGATGTTGCTCATGGAAAGGTAACGGCGAAATCACATAAGGATAGCTATTAATTTCTACGTCACCTAACAAATAATTTTTTCTAATTGCAGACTCGATTGCTACGATTTCAGGTAGATATGAGAGCACTTAAGTTTAAAAATTCACCAGAAGAATATAATTTTAAAGTTACTACACCTACTAAAATACTATTATAAAATCACCGTTTGTAAAGTGTATGCACTCACGATGACGGCTACAGTGCAGGTAGGGGCACTCTGCTCCACAACCCTGTACACGAGCCCGGGCAGGGTATCGTTCAGGACGCTGATGGGGTTCTTGGGCTGAAGCGCCGCCCCGCAAATGCCGGTGGCAAATGTTTCGCTGCGTCGCCGTTTCGCTGAAATAAGGGGACGGGGGGATGGAATTGAGGAGTTGAAATTTCGAACGGAAACAGGCTATCGCAGCTTGGTCGACACGCTGTGAGCTCGAGCCGTGAGGCAGGGCCAACGTGATGTGGCAGGCGTTAGCATCATGAAAGCTTACCATTTAATATAATGCAAGGATCTATACAAATTTTAAGCTAGAGTACAATACCTCTATTTGGTTCATCATCCAGAACAGCATCTTGAGCGGAGTGCTTATGGCCTCTCAGGCCTGAGCTCGCTTCATTGCTGTCAGCCGTAGCATTACTACTCATGTTTACTCGAATCTCGTTGGGGTTGAGCAGAATGGGCACCTGCCACTAAGCGAGGTATAACAGAGCAATTTGTGGTAATATTTCCTGTAAAAGAAAAGAAGTAAAAAATTAGCACACGTGCATAACGAAAAACGGCCGGTACAAAAGGAAGAAAATAAGAATTTATTGCACTATCATGGAGGAATTAAATTATAGCAGCAAATATAAGCTGCTACATAACATAAGCTCAAAGGGAGGCTGGCATCCTGCCTCTACATCAGGACCCAATATCCTTTAGGTCAGTCCATGCAGGTGTCCCCTAAATTTCAGTGGTTTCCCCTGCACTGTTGAACCATTCCATCTCTGACTACTCTCTTCCGGTACCAAATATTGCCTCATACGCTGACGATCTCACCATCTTTGTCTCGTCCCAGAAATTTGACGCTTCGGAGGCGGACCTGTCAGTGATACTCTCTGGCGTAACGGACTGGTTTGCTTTCAGGATGCTGACCATGGCCCTAGGCAAATCCTCAGTTACACTATTCACTATCATTAACACATTTCCGCCTTGCACTGAAACAGCCGCATCCCCCTGACAAAAACACCTGGGTATTATCTGGAATACCCACTAAACCTTTGACCCAACATCAAGGCCGCAGCCACAAAGGCGATCAGCACCTTGCGTATTTTGAAAACCCTAGTCGGCACAAATTGGGGCTGTTCATAAGATATAATTGTCACATTCAGAACCATCACACTCCTAATCATTAACCAAGCAGCTCCCATTTGGTGCCTCGTCGCATCCCGCACCGCTGTAAAAAGCTGACAAAAGATCCAAAAATCGGCCTTCAGGATCGCAACCAGACGCCTCAAGATAACCTCTATCGAACACCTCCAAACCGAGGCAGGCGTTCTTCCCTTCCCAGTCAAAAATCCAGATCGTGGCGGGCGCCAGTAGGCGCCACACGGTAGATTGGCTATTTCTCCCAAATCTCGTCCAGCTCACGCCCGTCCGTCGTGACGAGATATACGGGCAACACCGCTGCCACTTCCTTAATTTAATGATGATCCGGTTGTCATCTCTCTACAAAGAAACCTGTCGTGCAAAATATCTGATGATCGGAAGTTTAGAAATTTTTAACAACGACGGCTTGGCCGATGAACTGTTACGGCTTTTACCGCTCAAAAAAGTATATAGTTTCTTATTGATTGATAATATATAGGAATAAAGAACGATCACCGGAGGGTTTGTATTTTCGACGATAGAAATAACACGTACAACGATAACGCCAATACAAAGCATCACCAACAGAGAAAGATTTTTCTTTGGATAACCACGGAAAACTGTCACACCAGCGGAAACTTGAATTTATGCTTCTTTCAAAGTTCAGGCTTGAGGCAGTAAACTTTTCGAAGCAGTTCTGAGTACAAACTTTGCTTGAGATATAATAGCTTCTATTTAAGTACAGATTAAGATAAATACTGCGACACGACGTGAATATTTGTTTTCGAATGACCGTACAAGTAGCCTACATCGGCATGATGGAAGTTACAGGTTCCTATTGCTATACTCAATTTGTTACGCGGTTAACAGTGTTAGGCTTAATACAAAAAAGGCAAACGAAATGAACTTTTATTTCAAAAACGACTGGTCCAAAGCTTGAAGAAACAGACCAAGTCTCAAAAAAATAACGCTTGGTAGCGATTCCGATACAGGCTCATCGACGTTATACCGACTAATAAACCCGGCAGAATATAACTGTAGAAGCAAGAGGTAACTTTTAAATTTTACAATTCTACATTACAGCAATCTTATTCCAATGTCGCAATAAGTTTCAATATATCCATTCACAGAAGCAAAATGTTTTACACCATGACAAGCTGAAGGCTCTTTGCATCGTAAAGCGTGTCGCGGAAAGTCCTAAAAAAAACGAACGATGTTTCCCCCCGGATACGCAGTTATTCTATCGAATAAAAGGAATAAATCGCTGTAAGATAATTGGTAATCAAATGATAAGCTCTATGAGCCTAAATGCAAGACGAACTATGTCACTATATTAACAGCCTCGGACCCACCTTTAAATCTTTATCCACCAAGCGGTTAAGCTGTAACTTCAAGAGGCCATGTAAAGGGAAATTTTGAAAGTAGAAAGTGAGGGCAGACTCCAATAATTAACTAGCAAGTTTAACTTAGAATAGGAACACGCTTTTGCAATAAGTTAAACACATTAACGTTATTCCAGTATAAAGCCGAAGCTCAAAAGTTAGGGTGGTCGTGCCACAAGAACAGGCAACGCCCAAATTAAACACCGGAGCCGGCCCTTTCCTAATCAAAGAAAGCACGAACATGCATTATCAACGAAAATGAATAAAACAAAAAACAAGGAGTGATCACTCAAACTTAAATACAGAAATTAGGAAGGAATGGCTTTATACACTCCTACAGAGCAAAATTAAACGTAAGTTTTCATCAACAAGTTTTCCAGCCAACTCTACTATTTACAAAGCAATTACCCAGTAAAAATAATAAATTCATTATTTGACCTATGACTTTACATAAAATAGTATTTACTGATACGAAGAAATTTGGTACAACTGACAAAGGCCAGCAGCATTCGTGCAACCGACTGCATCCTATTTGTCTGCTCATTACACATCGTGTGCGAAAAGTTCCTGGCTAGCGTCCTCGGGCCGAGCCACCCCTCGTTCCCGTCGTCTCCACTCCTCGCGGCGACAGACCCATGAAGGCTACCTTTCTATCCAGATTCAGCCATCAAGTGGCCTCTCCCCTAAGGGACGGCATCATGCCTGTCAGCTGATATGCGGAAGCAAAGCGGTGCCTTTACCGAGAGAAGTCTGCCCGCGTTGCGGATGTTGCTCGAGTCAACAGGGCTCTGGTTGCCAACGCCTTCCATCGCCTTAGAAGAAACCTGGCTTTCCCGTCCTCACCGCTCTGCACTGGCCCAGCTCCACTTGGGCCGCCTGTTATGAGTGTGGGGACCCCCTCCAGTCCATGTGGCACTTCTTTGCCTGTCCTTTTCCCGCTCTCTTAGCGTCGCATAACTGTGACAGTCCCGTGGGGCAGAGGCCTTGTTGCCTACCTTGCTCACCTCCCTCCTCATTGAATTGAAGGTTGCCCGCACCGTCCACGCATGAGCGTCGGCGCAACCAACAACAGCAAGCTCCATAAGCACATTAGCATGCTTTCACACAACTGACCAGGGATATGTGCCAAATATTCACCAAGAATGTGCCTCGTGTAGAAACAACCAAAAGAATTCAGCTAATATGTGCTTAGTTACCATCCAACTGCATTCAGCAGCATGCAAGTGACCATGCTATTGGAGTAAGCTTCAAAGTCCTCATTTAAGATGATAATTAGATCAGTTGCTAATTGAAATCTTGTATAAAAAGAATGTCTTTACATTAAAGGCCCATCTGTGGAGTCTCATCCCTAAGGATTGTGAGCTTTAAACTTTTACAAGACAATTAAACAGGCAAAAAAAACATGAGCAAGTTGGATGAATGCATATAGGCAACTACAGAGTGATAAAAAAATTACACAAATCAAATTACGAATATCACTGAAAAAACTCTAACCAGGAATTCTTGTGTACATACATTTACTCCAAACTGCAGAATCTTTATAAATGATTCATCATCCTAAATTACAATACCTATTTTTTAGGGCTGGAGGCAGATCTTATCAATGAATACCATACCTGACAGCAAAAAAGTTATAACACTTGCAAATTGTCACATGATTGCTTCAAATCTGCATCATAGAACATAAAGTTGTATTTTTTATATACATTGTCTGCCATTGCAAGCGGCAAGACCATAGCAAATGGTGGTTACCAATAACCTCTTGTCTGGTGCAAGCTCAATTAATATCTATTGCTAAGTCCAATGCATGGTTATGGAACTTCAGTTCAGTGTGGCCTGCATGCAATTTAACATTTCCTGAAAAAGATTCTAAAAACTTGTTGAAGCTAGTAAGTTGAATAATGAACTAATTCTATGATAATTTAGCCTCTATCAACTACAGATGACCAGGTAGGTGGATAAAAAACAATAGCGTTTTTTTCCCATAAATGAGAAAATGCGCTAAAAAAAGTAAAAGCACTTTTTGACAGCAAAAAGTAGAGAAAATATTATGCTTCCATGATACTGCTAACACTTCCGGTATTCAATGTTTATGAATTTCAAGATTGGTATAGTTTGGCAAAGTTGTTCTTTAATGCAGGCTTCATTGCATACCAGAGAGTATGGTTTTCGATCTGTATCCATTATACCATATCTTATCCATCATACAATATATCCATTGTACCATTATACCATATATCTTCAAGTCCTATCAAAAGCCTAATTTGCCAAATAGAGAAAAACAATGAGAAAATTATCAGTAAGAAATACTCTCTGGTCATCAATAGAACCTACATTAAAGCCTTTCTTGATCTTGACAAAATTGATTGACTAGCTGATCCATGACCAGTTTATCCATGTAAATTTCAGAAACTATTACCAGAACATTCTACAAGCACAAAAAACATTTCCATAGTTAATATGATCACTCATCAGAAAATAGATAAATTTCTGATTAAAGTAGAAAGTAGTTGATCTCTTTAACATATCAAATCTGCTGATGATATGATGGAAGATGAACAAGTCAATGACATGTTATAGGGAGGAAATTTTGATGATAGCAGTCATAGCACTAACTCATTACTAGCCTTTGTAGTGGAACAGATTTTAAACTTGTGGCAGGCTAGAAGCATCAAGGCAATCATTTCCTTATTCCCTTATTCCAGAAAGGTAAAAGTATTCAATCAACCATAAATACTGAAAATTGAGAACAAATGTCATTTAACATTTTATATCTAAGTATTCATTACTAAATATTGTACTACATCTACATAAGTATATCTGTACATGTGATGTAGGTCAGGTTTGGGTAAATTGGTAGAGGATGAAATGATAAAATGCATCTATGATAATTGAATTGAAAAGGTGTCAGGGAACCATCTTAGTATTAGTGTAACTGAAAAGAAGCACTATATAATGTAAAGACTAATTTGCTCCAAAATGTTTCAGGATAGGTAGTATA